TTTTATTTATCTATTTTTCATTTGTTTATTTTTTACCTTTCACCGTTTTTATGTTTACTACCCTTATTTGCATACCCTGAAACTTAATCAAACATATGCTCTATATCCACACATTTTACTGAAGACTTTTTCCAACGATTAAAAAATATGTGCTTTAATGTTTGATTTAAAATTATTTTACCCACTTCTATTGAGTGCTAGTAAAATCTAGAGAGGAAGAAAAAAATTGCATTGTTCCCTGTATTTGAAAAAAAAAAATGTTCCGCAAAAAGCGTTTCAATTTCTTCTCTCAAAAAATTTTAAAATCGGCCTTACAATTGTATCGCTATTGAATTACATTTGACTCTATAAATAGAGATGCTTTTAGAATCGTGAGCAATTATGATATCATAGCTATCTACATGCCTAAATTGAATATTTAGAAATCAGAACAACGCACTGCAGTTTGATCATTAATAATTCAATAAATAAATAAAAATGTTTTTTATAACTTCGCATTTAACTATAACTAACAAATGACAAATTTCTTTATATTTAGCGAATTATATGTAAGGTCTTTCCTTGATTTGCACAACAGCAACGTTTAAAGTTATGAATAATTAATACTGCATTTTATTCCTTGACTATAAGCAAATAACATTAAACAAAATTACCTTTCTTTTCTCCCTTCCCCCCCCCCTTTTTTTTTGCTGTGCAAATTTTACGTTTGTAGTTCTGAAGAATCCGATGTATTTTGGTCATTAATTATTCCATAAATAAATAGTGGCGCCTTTTATAACTTGACTGTAAGCCATAGACACCTTTCTTTTTTAATTTACTCAATTGCATTGCTCGGAGTTCAGGTTCAGAATAATCCAGTGTATTTTGATGATTAATCATTCAGTAAAAAATACATTTTAATGAAGCGTTCTTAATGAAGCTTTTTATACTGTGACTGTAAAAAATGACATTTAGGAATACCTTTTTTTCCCCCTGATTTGTACAACAACGTTAAGTCCTAAATAATCCAATTATTACCGTATTTTAAACCTTGATTTAGTAAGCAAATGATATATAACAGAATCATCTGTGTTTGCTTTACACAAATTCTATGTTCGTAGTTCTGAATAATCCAATGCATTTTAATCATTAATTATTCGAGAATTTTTATTTTTTACTTTTTATTTTGTTGAAGCGTGCGAAAGAACGGTTTTTTGACAATTTAATGACGGTGACTATAAACATATGACCTATTTATTAATACCATACCTTCTTTCTTTGATTTGCACAACGGCAACGTTTTAAAGTTCTAAATAATCCAATTAATGCTGATTTTCAAACATTGACTGTAATCAGATGCCATGTAACTGAACTATCTTTACATGACTTACACAAACTCAATGTTCGTAGTTCTGAATAATATTTTTGATCATTGATTATTCGATAAAAATTAATTTTTTATTGAAGTGTTCCTAATGACCCTTTTTATACTGTGACAAGAAACAAATGACATTTAACAATACCTTCTTTCCTTGATTTGCGCAACGATAACGTTTAATGCTCTAAATAATACAATTAGTGCCGCCTTTTATATCTTGACTGTAGGCAAATGACATGTAACAGAACTATGTTTGTTTGTATTTAATGTTCGTAGTTCTGAAGAATCCAATGTATTTTGATCATTAATTATTCCATAAATAAATAGTGGCGTTTTTTATACCTTACTGTAAGCAACAGAGACATTTATCAATTCTATCTTTCTATGACTTGCACAAATACAATGCTTGGAGTATAGAAGAATCCAGTGGCTTTTTTTCTTTCTTTCTTTTATCTCAAGTATCTTTGAATTTATTCAAGAATTCTCATTTCTTGTCATTGTTCGCACATTAAAGAAGTCAATCTACTTCTGGCAATCATCCCAACCCCGAATCCTCATCGTTGAACAGGAGAGAATGTTTTATCAGGATTCAAAGGGGACATGTCACATCCCGGAGCATGCTTCTTTGGTTAAATTGACATGTCTGTTCTTGATTTTACTTATCTCTATAATGAAATGTCCTTTTTTTCTTTCCGGAAGCCCAATTAATCTTTCAACTTGTCATCTTGCCTCTGGAGTTCCTTTTAGAAAATAAATTTATTTTTAAGTTATTTTAAAATAGCTTATAAATCAACAAGGCAAGTGATTGAAATCACAGTGACGTATTTATATGGCCGTGACATTATTGGGTGTTGATGATATTTAGTTTAAAAGGAAATGTAGTTCATGCTGATCTACTAAAGAATTATTCAGAAATTTTCGGGTTTTTTATCTCCAGAAGATAAAAAATACATTCGAATATTGAATAAGTAAATAATCCAACCACAACGTCTATGTAATTTTAATTTTTCGATTGAGAAAAAGGTCAGAGCTTTTGTTACCTAACCATAAAATATTTAAATCACGTAGTTTTCGTGATTTACAATAAAAGGAAACTTGACAATAAAAGGAATCAACTTTCGATACGTCTCTTGCTTTAAGAGGCCTCTTTCCTCGCCATCTTTGGTTTTAGGTAAAAATTTTAATATTGGTGTTCTAAATTTTTTATAATTATTATTATTAACAAGTTTTTGATGATAAGGCTATCATTTGACAGCACCATTCTTTTAAAAAAAAAGTTGAAGACGTCGCATTGTCAGACAATGGGAAATAATCTTTGAAAACTTCTGAACGTTTAGATTTTCCCGAAAATGTACAGCAATAAACCTACACCGTTAGTAATTTTGATTAGGTAATTTAATACTGCGCAGTTGTACATTTTTAAATTATTTATAATTCACATTTATTATTGTTTAAACTGATATAAACCGAGTTAGATGACGCTGAAATTTTTTTTTAACACAGATTACGTGAAAGAAACAGATATTTCTTAAAAATCCGATAACAGACAAATGTATATTTCAAAACTACATTTTTCAAAATACTGACTGTATAGATAGGATTTCGTCAGAAAAATAATAAATAGAGAATTCGAAATATCGTTAGCTGTATTTTCGATATTCTAATTGGGTGACGATGTTGTATTTTACATCAGTTTATTTGTAAAAGTTAAATTAAGATCGTTAAATAGGAAGAGAAAATTTATCCCTATGCTCTCCAACCCGGTTTAAACGCAAATGATTTTTTGAATTACATTGATATAAATCTTAGTAGGTCTGTCAATGAACGCATTGACAATGCCGCGGTGACTGAGCGATTATGAAAATTATGTCTAATGCTTCAGAGCAGCAAGTTTTTTCTAATTTTTTTATTTAACCGTTATAAATAATGACTAATGTTTCAATTAGTTTTTAAAAGCAACAGCTAATTTACCACTTGGCCACACCTTCAGTTTTTGTCCTACACTGAGAAAAAAAGTATGGCCGAAACTACCAGAATCTCAAAAATCTCGGTAATCTTTACCAAAGCGATTTGATAATGATTCTGGTAAAATTTACAATAAAATATGGTTTTATAACATGTGATAAAATTTAGTAAAAGTGATAAAATTTGGTAATTTTATGATGATACCTTTAGACCAATGCATAAAAATCATTTATTCGGTGAAATTTACTTTTCAGTTTTGTACAATTTTTTTTTCACTAAATGTGTGGTAATAAGAACTATAATTTAAAAAGCCAGAATTTCCGGTTGTTACAATAAGAATGGAAAAATTACCAAATGAATGGTTAAATTTTGATTTAACTAACCAGAATTATGATTTTTTTTTCTTTTTCAGAAATGCCTTTACCTAACAGTACGGTAATTTTACCAGAATTTTTCTCTGCGTGTATTGATGAAGATGTACCTTTATGATACCATTTTCTATTAAATTTTAGTATGTGAGATTTTAAACGCCGTTCTTTTATTGAATTTCAATTTTATCCAAAAGGATTAAAACTCATAAATGACACAGATCACACAAGCAACTCGCCCTAACATGTTTTGTACGCTTGATGATGACTCATTAAACTTGCAAAAAACTAATTCCAATCATTTTTTAAAATTTTTTTAATTTTTTTTCATAATTAAATGGTTAAAGTCTCCAAATTTTTATATTTCTTAAAATATCCATTAAAATTTGCGAATTAAGTTTCAGTATTTCCAGTGTAAACATTGAGTAAAAATTGTATCGAATTATTAAAAGACACGAACAAGCAAAGCTTATTTTTCATTCAGTTACAATGCATGTTTTGAGATAGAGCAACACCCCCGTAACGGGAGCGCACAAGGTTTAAAGACGTAGTCACCGGAAAAAATCACTCTATAATTTTAAATAAAAATACTTTATAGTTATTAAAATATTTTTAGTTTATTTTCTGAATAGTAATAACACTTAACTAAATTTTGAATATAATTACTACAAGATAGTGAATAATTTTCCCCTATTATTAAACAAATATTCATTTCAATATGGTCAGTGTATACAGTGTTAAAATTTATTACCTTAATTCTACCTTTTTATCGCTATTTCCATTCTCATTCTCTTAAATTAAAATAAAATTTATGACTATAAATATCCGAATATCTCCTCACCTCAGTGTTTTTGTTTCATATTATAATTTGAAATTCTTTATGATAGGTCTAACATAGATCGCACTTATAAATCTTTCAGGAGGGCGCATTTAAGTCCATGTACGCTACTGAGTTAAAGGATTTTAGAATTTCAATTTGTCTCTAAAAGTTTACATATCACAAAAACATTTTTTCTGCGGGTAGGTTTCAGAATTACAATTTGTCTCTAAAAGTGTACGCTTTTTAAAAACTTTAAAAAAAAAAGAGAAAGTCGAATAAGCGACGTTTTGTCTCAAACTGACAACATCTAATCCTGGTGATCACATTATATCCTATGAGATGATCATAAATACTTTCTGAACTGACGTGCAAAAAAATGTATTGTCGCAGTCAGGCTGTAACTAATGATAACGTTGTTTGGCTTGGCAGTTGCTTCAAATGCAGGGAAAAATCAGAGACGCGTTTCGTAGTGCCCTGTCAACGTCATGGTAGATGTTACTTTTTATAGGCGCCCACCTTACTAACTCTTGGCAGGGACATTTTACTTTAGAAGACGGCAAAAAGGTACAAACGCCGACGTTTTGTGAAGCTAAATTACGGTTTCAACTGAAAGACATGTCTCTGAAATGCAGAGAAAATGTTGTCTCTTTAATGAGTTAGTTTATCATGAATTGAATGTGGAATGAGGGAGTTCAACCATTGTTGTCAGTTTTGGAATCTCAATCGGGAGTGTTTCTGGAAAGATCAATACGGAATTTATTCTGATCCGCATTGGAAAAAACTTGAATTTAAGTCATCTAAAAATTGTTGTAAAAGAAGATTTTTTCCACATGCAGCAAATGTAAGTTTTAGGCAATTGTTGCTATTTTAATGTATATTTTTATTATTGTTGCATTTTCAAGAGGCTTCGCCGCCATCTTGGATTTTAAATTAAATTTGAGTATTCTTGATATTTTAATTTATTTTGTATTTAGCAAACTTCAGATGATATAATGTTAGTCGGTAGTACAATACCTTTGCCATAGATTCTAAATCAGGGGTTTCCAACTTACATGTGGCAGGGGGCCGCAACTTTATCAAAATCTTATATAGGATTCTTTTATGTTTGAAGGAATATTAAATATTACTGTCAGATTTTATCAAGTTGTACAAAACAAAAGTATTGAATTACAAATTAAAATAGAAGTAGATTTTTAAAAATATTTAATTGCATATTAAAAAATTCAGGCTACAATAACTTTAATTGTGCTCCTATGTATTAAACAATTAATGTGCAGCAGATATCATATTATTAAGATAGAAAACTTAAAAGTATTTAAAACGCATATAGATTTTTTACGAAAATTGTCCGCAAAAAAATGACAACTAATATATTTTACTTCGCGGGCCACAAAAAAAAGACTTCGCTGACCGAATGCGGCCAGTTGCTAACCACTGTTCTAAATATATGGATTCTGCACATTAAGGGCGGTCTTTTCAAAACATCTTTACAGTATATAAATTTTAAAAAAAACTCAAGCAGAATTTAGAGAAGTCAAAATGTACATGTTTTTAGCTGGCAAAATAGATTTTTATGAATGCATTTTTTTTTTTTTTTTTTTTATGTTTATAACAAATGCTTGAAAGCTTAATCAAGTAATTATTTAAAAAAATATATATAATTTTGTGTATTAAATACAAATAAAATAAACAGAATAATCGACGAATTTTTAGTCTTGCATTTAATTAAAAGAATAGGCAAAATATACAATACAAAATATACCCCTTTAACCAGAATAAATAATTTCGAAAATTTAAAAGATGAGAAAATTATGATAGTCCAATATATTATTATTTCTCTTTCGTAAATAACTCGTTAAATTCAAACAATGATTTGATATTGTTGGATTTATTTTTTCCCTCGGAGGCAAAGCCGGGAAAAAAGAGAATTAATGCGTTGAAAAAAAATTTGTTTGATTTTTTTTTTTTTTTGTAGTAATGAAGTTAATTATGGAAGGAAAAAAATGTTGAATTCAATTGGGAGAGAAACTTTTTTACTCAAATAAAGTTTTTGTTTTTATTGTAAGAAGAAAAAATTAAAAATGATTTAGAGTTATTTAACTGAATATTTTTACTTATGAAATTAAATATTTTTTTGCATCCTTAGTTTTTTATTTTCGTTGCTAATTATTTAAAAAAAATTCTGTTATTTTTTTAAAAGACTTTCTTCTGTGATGCATTACCGAATTTTTTTATGTTTCATTATTATATAGTTTTATTTTGTCTGTTTTATTTACAAATGACAAAAAAGATGTAATTAAAAAACAACAAAAAATAAAAATTAAAGATTTCAAGAAAAAAATAATTCTGAAATAAAGTACATGATTTAATAATACTTACTCATAAGGGAAAAGTTTGAGGAAAATCATATAAACTGTTTTTTTGCATTGAATATTTTTTACCCAATATCATTCATTTTTATTTCTTTCCTAATTTGTGCGCTATGAGATTAACTCAAATGTCGGTATAAGCTTTTCAAACGTTTTAAATGTTAAATGTTAAAAATTAAAAAATATAAAAAATTATTTATATTTTTTTATTAAACTCCTCGAAATATCGGTCCAAATTAAACTCCTCGAAAAATCGGTCCAATATTGAATCGCAATACAAGACAGTTCAAATATTACGTAAATATGATTTTGGCAATTTTGAACACCTCTTCCCCAGTAAAAATACGAAATCTACTTCAGTAAAACCAAACTCTTCTTGCTATTTTTTAAAAGTTCTTCTTTAAATACTATTCCTTAAAAAATACTACACTTTTACTGAAATCTTTTAATAATTTTAAGAGAAAATAAAAATAAAAATTGCTGCAGAGATACTTTTTTTTTTAAGTTGAGAAAGAAAAGGTTTAAAAATAGCAGTGGAAAAATAGTATCTCTTTAGAATTATAAATCTAAGAAACGATTCGATTCCGATATTTGAGTCCAAATTTAATATAATTAAAAGTTTATTCGAATTTTAATTATTTGAGGTTTACCAAAAAAATTTTTTCAATGTATTATATTTTTAAGATTGTTATTCTCTCTTTCAGAACAATGTAATTAAATAAAATGTGACAATTAATTATATGTTTTGATTGATTTAACAAGTTTATCAATAATATTGTAATTGTAATTCTATCAAATAATTGTATCACATAATATGAATGCTAATTTTGTGATGGGTAATAAATACATAAATAGTTTAATTTTCAAACAATTTTTTAAAAGAAATCATTGGTTGAAAAGGTAAATGATTATTATATCGCAATATAATAAACATAATTACTGCAATTTAGAGAAGAAAAAAATTTAAGTTTCTAAAAAGAGTCCTAATCAATTAGTTAAAATATATGAACTGTAGAAAGTTCCTTTCTGTAAACTTTTTAAATTTTTTCAGCGTGACGAACGAGATAACTCGTCTTTCAGAAATACTCTCCGTACTCTATAGTTTTATTAGTGAATATGGTTATTGATTGCAAGTGAAAATTATTTTATAAAGTAAAAGAAACAAGTTTTAAAGAAATTTTTTAACAATTTTTAAAAAAAAAATCATTGGTTGAAAAAGTTAATGATTATTATATCGCAATATAAAAAGCATAATTTTTTTTTCTTCTAAATTGCAGTAATTAAGTTTCTAAGAAAACTCCTAATCAATTAGTTAAAATATGTGAACTGTGGAAAGTTCCTTTCTGTAAGCTTTTTAAATTCTTTCAGCGTGACGAACGAGATAACTCGTCTTTCAGGAATACTCTCCGTACTCTATAGTTTTATTAGTGAATATGGTTATTGATTGCAAGTGAAAATTATTTTATAAAGTAAAAAAAACAAGTTTTAAAGAAATTTTTTAACTATTTTTTAAAAAAAATCATTGGTTGAAAAAGTAAATGATTATTATATTGCAAATAAAAAACATAATTGCTGCAATTTAGAAAAAAAATTGAGTTTCTAAGAAGAGTCCTAATCAATTAGTTAAAATATGTGAACTGTGGAAAGTTCCTTTCTGTAAGCATTTTAAATTCTTTCAGCGTGACGAGCGACATAACTCGTCTTTCAGGAATACTCTCCGTGCTCTATTGTTTTATTAGTGACTATAGTTATTGATTGCAAGTGAAAATTATTTTATAAAGTAAAAGAAACAATTTTTAAAGAAATCTGCTTTTTATTTCAATTTTAGTGCTGCAGTGGAATTCTAATGATTAATGTCCAATTAATTAATCTAATGATTAATTAAGCACGTCGGTGTCACGATGAAAGTACTTAACTAACTCTTTAACATAAATATAAAAAAAGTATCTAATTATATTTTATTGTTAATGTCGTGTTTTTTTCCGGGTCTTTCATAGTCTTGTAGTTAATATCTTTGAAGTTTTAAGTAAGTTTTTTATTAAATACTGTTTAAATCAATACATCTTACATTTTAATTAATCCATCTTACATTAGTTTTAATGAATACATCTTGAACATATAAGCAAGCAGGACCCTTATATGTTACACTCCCCGGAAACACAGATTTCGGGACAGATTAATGGAAGTCGAATGTTTTATCCCTTTGTCAAATCACGGAAAAAATACCACCGTAAAAATAATAGCCCGCAAGAAAAGAACAAAAAAAAAAAAAAAAAAAAAAAAAAAAAGCACCAGAAAAAAGCAGCTATTTAATGTAGATTTTTGATCTTAAGTAAGTTAAGGGATAATTGCGAGCAAAATTGAATATAGTAAACTATGGTTGCTTTTAAAAAGAGAACGCATATTCAAAGTGGTGCTAATTGTCACCTAAAAATCCCGGCTGTAAATAAGATAAATTTTTTATTTTAATTAATGTTAAGGTTTAACAAGTATTAATTTATAATTAAGAAGTAAACTTCAAAAAATTGCTTCAATCACAAGTGTATTTTAGATATTTGGCTTAGAAAAAAAAAAAATTATTACTTAAGTCGAATTTTATTTTTATTTTATAAGCTATACCTTGCAAATTATATTAAGTGTCAACTGAGAAGCATTTTGGAAATATTTATATTAAAAATACAACAAAAGTAATAAAATTCCACAGGTAATTATTATTTTGTGTTATAATTATTAAAATGGTTAAAACATTAGTTTCTTGCAAATGTAAAATTGTACAAGCATTAATTGGAACTATTTATGAAAGTAAGCAAAAAAATATCAGAAAAATTCTATACTTAAGCAAAATTAATCTAATTTAGTACTGTTTACGTTAGGCAGTGATTTCCTGGTGCTTTTTATCCTGTTACTCTTTTTTTCCGGTGCTCTTCTTTTCTGTCTTTGTCCCTTCCCGGAACAAAATTCCTTTTGATTTTGTTTTGTTCCGAAAGATTTTATCGTGATCCGTGAACTTTTTTTTTTCTATTCTATTGCTTTCCTAAACTATTAATTTCATTCTATTGCTTTCATAAACTACAAATTTCTAATAACCGTTACTGACAACGATACTAACTTGGTTTGGAGGTCGACCCCTCTGTACGCCACTCCCGGAACAGGTCAGGCCAGGTGACGCTAATGACGCTTAACCAATTGACATCAATTAAAACTCATGAAGGTGGGAAAAAATTGCTGAGAAAGACGTAAACATATGACACTTTTAAAAGCTCCCTTCTTTTCGCAGCGCGAGGTCGCCAGGGTCAACAACTAGCCATTGATTTCATGATTTCCAAAGGATCATGCCATACCCAGAGAAGACCCAATTCAATTCCCACAAAATGTGGAGAAATCGTTATCACAGAGAGGGGTCAAAACTAATCAGAAGTCGTTATAAAAGGATTTTCACAAGAACATCTACTCGTACATCCCTAATCCAAAT